TCTTCTTGTCTTAACAAAGTTTTTATATTGCAGAAGAAAGTTATTAGAATTATAACGAATTCTAGACCAAGAGAGTCTTGTAGGGACATTTTTAAGAATTTGGAAATAATGATGTTCTACTCTCAGTACATATATTCATTACTTTTATACACAATTAATAATAAATATTTATTTAATTTTAACAGTGAGATTCACAAATACAAAGCGTGGTTGCATTGCAGTTGCCAGTTTCCCTGGTGTGCTCTCGTCCTTAAATTATATATTCAAATGTGGGCAGCATTTTCAGCATTTCATCTTTTGATCCAGACTACCTGACCTTCAGATTAGCAAGGGCTAACTGTATGTTGCTTACTCCTCATACAGTACGGACATTTCTTTTGTATGACGAGGCACCTCTACTCTATTAATTAACTTGCAACGTCATGGGNGATGGCGGTCACTGATTGGCCTATTGTACCTGCCCTGGATGATTATGATGTTGGAGTATTTCATGGAATGAAGATTGGCAGGGGAAACCGAAGTACTCNAACCTTCAGTTTTATATATAAATGACCGTTGTATTTTTATACAAAAGAATTAACTATTTTGTCATTGTATCTAATCTTATTACAGTTCAATAGTGTACGTTTGTTGATTTGTATTCACCTGATAATGGCTTAATGGCGGAAACATGTAGCGAGGCATAGCTGGGTATTGACCTTTATACTCCTTAGTTGTTGTGTTGTGATGGAAAAATAAAGTTATATGTTATGTATGTACACAGTATAGGTGATCAATATTGGTGTTCAATTGCGGATCTATTTGTAACATTTATGTGAGATCTGAAGGAAGTTTAATTGTGCCATAAACATATTTGTTGTCACTACAATACAAGCTTGAAGGTCGCGGGTTCGATTCCCGATGAGGTCATTGGCTTTTTCAATTGAACTAATCCTTCCAGCTGCACTGTGTAAGGCTGTCAACCCTATTGCCGTTTGTGGGCAGATTGTCATGAAAATGTTGGAATCTTGACGTCTCACAACTCCATGGGCCTCCATGTCCTAATAACAGAGATAGTTTTAGTTTTATCCTATTGTAAGTTTTGGCCAACCTTGGAATCATGGCATGTGATATGTATGTATGTAGTACTACGCACTACCGCACTACGGCTCTGGAGTCGACTCATCGTCTAACAAAAATGAGTATCTGGAATCTTCTTGGGCATAAGTAAATAACGTATAGCACGTAAGACTTAACAACCTCGCCGCCATCTCTGAGCCGATTGTCTAGAACTCTAGAAAATTCTGGAGCCTCAATGTCTTACAACCCTATACGCCTCCACGGCCTAGTACTTATAGTACTTTACATAAATTTCAAGGCGTCTAAGCTCGTCTAAGCTAATCTAAACCTAAGTTCAGAAAACATTTTTGTTCATCTCTGATTTTAAATTGTGGTTACAAAATGCCAGGTATTAACCAGTAGTAACCACTTTGAAGATGCTTGAAAGCACCTGAAAAGGCGGGCGTTAGTGAGAAAATGTTTGGGTTTTTGACTGACAGCAACTGTGTTATGATACGTAAAACAACCTCACATAAACTATAACCAATAAAGCACTTTATGTTCGGTATGGTAACAAAATCTGAAACAGAGTGAACACTGTATATATGGAGTTTGTGTTGTGTTTGTGCTTCATGGACACGCAGCGTCTCATAGCATTTGGAACTGTTGTTCATAGAAATGGTGCTTGAACGTATATAGAACGTTTGCATGTAGTGACTGTGGTACTGTGTATTGTCAACCGAACTTCATTTTTTTTCGAATTTAGATTAATTATAACCTAAAATGGCAGATGTTGAATTTGTGATTCCAACGAATAAGGATGAACTACTACAAGGGGAGCCAGGCCAGTATTCTGTCAGAAATGTCTGCAGCCTTCCAGAGTTATCAGATAAACTTTCAGGTATATTTGTTTGTATATGTGTCCCATAATGTATGCCATACGATATGTCAATCCAAAATGTGACGTTTGTATTGGAATATTCCAGTAATCCTTTTCTCTTCCATCTTATACAGAATAAGCAAAGAGTTGCCTTAACGGTTTCTAGAGTTGTTAAGTCTACTGTCTTTTATATTGTACATCAATGAACTTGCAGATAATGGCAGTTTAATAATTTTACTACCAATCATTAGTTGGTGTTGCCATTTTCAGAGTAATCATGTTCCGATTTTATGCATACGTCTGAATATGTTTACTGTAAATGGAAATTACTGGACTATACTTTTCTTCCAAGTCTTTTCAACACTCACGTGTTTTGTTTTTACAAGGATGCATTAAAAAAATGTTTATGCTGTGGAGGTACAAAATAGTAATTACATGATTATCTGCATCCTTGTAGCTTTGACAGAAATTAGGGCAAACCTGAAAAGCTGATTTGTGTCGGGGACTACAATCAGTATTTTCATGAAGCCTATGTTCAGGCTGGAGGAGGTAACTTTGAGCAGTTCTTGTGAAGAAATATGTCGAACTATGTGCAAGTCCCCACTACATGTAGAGATATTTGCATTAAATTTAATGACAGATTTAAACTGAAAAGAGGAAATAACTTCAGAATTTTTGCTTTTCATTCATTATAATTAAGAGTGATGAGTAAAGACATTAAATATAAATAACCAAATTTATACATATGTGGACAGTTGTTTCATTTTTGTCAGTGGCAAAACATAACTGTAAGGGTGATGAACAACAATTTATTTACATTTTCTGCTCCAAACTATCTCCCCATCAGTCACATAAATGTTGGTCGCAGAACTTTGAATCATTCTCTACAGAGATATGTGAAGTTTGCCTTTATCAAGATGTAAAGAATTCATGAATTCCATCAAAGTATTCCCAATATGCATATGTGGCACAATGCTTCAACACAAAAACATTTTTACTTTTATGTTCAGTAATTAGTGAAGTTCTTTTTACAGATTGCAAAAATTCCATTAGCGAAGTAGGCACCGACTTCATTCTGGACCATTTTGATTCTCTTTTCTCGGTGCTAGTACACTTCAAACAAGCTGACTTATCTACACTGTCAAAAGGATGGAATGTCATTATGAAAGGTATATATAAAAATGAGTTCTGGGAGAGCTCATAAACCTACCTTCCTGTTAAACTGACATCCACTCCTTCAGATTTTGTGTTATTAATGCCATATAGATGATGAGATTCTATTCAGCACAAGATTGACTTGTGCATAGATGCTCTGAAGATCAAATTTGTATTGTTTTCACTTGTGAATATGAGGGGGTACCCAAAAGAAACCGAACTTATTTTTTTTTAAACTTATTTATTCAAATTTTAAGCACAAACCTTCAATCCCCTTCAAAGTACTCTCCACTTACACTAATACACTTGTCTAGTCT